GAAATTGATGAATCAGCCTATTACAATTACAATTCTACTGTGCATAAGAACAGGTTAATGGGAATGGCCTAAAGACATTTCAGTCAGTAGCACCGCCCCGGGAGGTGTCAGATGAGTATAACAGTAACTTTTTGCCAGGGGTTCCATTATACCTTGAAGGTTACACTGGTTGGTATAATTACAGTCTTCACAAAAAGTTCAGGACCACTTGCAAAAGTGCACGCAAAATAAAAACCAGAAAATCAAAGTACTCCTTCTTTGACATACATTAATTCATTAATCCATAAGTGCAAAAGAAAAAAAAGAAAAGAAAAAGAAATTTCATCCCAATCGAAACTGAAATTGGTAATTCCCCAGCCCTCAAAAGAAACAGACCCTCAAAGTCGTAAAATAACAAAAGAAAGGGTCTCAAAAAGTCTCAGCAATATCAACAAAAACGACCAGTTTAAGTTCGTGAATGCATTATGGTCTCCTCGAGTCTTGATTGGGAATGGCACTTCTTTCTGCCCCGTTTTGCATTATTTTTTCGGGAGAGGGCGGATGGGGGGAAGGCAGATTTGGGGCGGGGGGGGGGGGGGGGCATCCTGTTGAAAGTCGTCCAATAATTGAACATAGTAGAGATACTCAAATAATCTGGAAACAGTAGTCCACTTTGACAATCGGATTCAAACTTGTGCTAACGGCGCCGCAAGTTTATGACTTTGGAACAAGTAGATGTATCCCTTATCATATCGTCGGCCCAGAGTACAAGTGTCGTTTGTCCGCTTTTCATGAAATCCGAGATAAGACCACTCACAATCCCATGTGTTGTATCTCCAATAAGTTTCAAGACTCTAAGTACAGTATTTATTGAGATATCCAGAACCCACTTGTCGTATGTCCAAAGCGGACTAAAAAAGAAGAGAGTACAACTGTCGTAACTCCATAGCATTAATTTCGACAAGTTTGTTTTGTCGTATCTCCATTTGAGCCAATGGGGTGAGAGAGTGACGTCACGTGATTTTGTGATCTAAGCAAAATTATATAGCGTTGTTTAGGAGAGGACAGTTCAATGATCAAGAGGCCCTAAACGTGCATGTCCATTAAATTTAAATGAGTAATTTGATGAGTGCGTCTGTATGTCCCAAATTCTTTAAATTCTGTTAATGTCATTGTAGAGCAATGATCTGGTACAGTACCCTTAATTGTTTTGTTTTTGTAGGGTCTTCATAGAAATTGTCGGTGCCTCTTCTTTTAACGCTAGTTGTGGTTCTGTGCTTGTGATTTTTTTTTTGGGGGGGGGGGGGCCCA